TGAGTCTGTTTGGCGTCAGGCCAAGTCACTTTATACCAATGACACTCAGCGACTCTATGGGGTTTGTCCAAATTTGATCACTACTATTGCTGCTCAACAACTTGATGTCTCTATGTCTGCTTACTTGGGAAAAGTTCAGGGCCTCCTTCATGATTTCAATGAACTGTTGCCGCCTGCTGCAGATCCTGCTAAAGAACTTGAGCAACGCAGCACGTTCTTCATGCTCATGGCTCTTTATGGTTTGCCCCCGGCATATTCTGTCAACCGGGATCAGATCTTGGGCTCTACTACTGTTCCATCGCTTGACTCTATTTGGTCTACGTTGCTTCGCATTTCACCTAAGACTTCTATGGAGCCTGCAGTATCTGCTCCCTCTTCAATTGACCCATCTGCCCTTGTCTCCAAGGGTTTTGCACGTGGACGCAAACCCTCTACGAGACGCTTTCTCTGCACTCATTGCAAAAAGTCGGGCCATACTATTGATCGTTGTTGGGATCTTCATGGTCGCCCTCCTCGCTCCGCTCATTTTGCTCAGACTACTGTTCCTGCCTCGGACTCTGCCTTGATTGCTGGATCACAGCCACCTCCTGGTACCATGCCTCTAGTGCACACACGGGTAATTCCTTTGCTGGTGTTTCGTACTCGCCCTCTCTTGGTCCATGGATTCTCGATTCTGGTGCATCTGACCATATTTCTGGTAATAAGTCTTTATTTACCTCTCTCTGTACGTCTGGTCCCTTGCCCAATATCACTATGGCTAATGGGTCACTGGTTTAGTCCCAAGGGATTGGCACTGTTCTCTTTTTTCCTTCTATTCTCATTGAGAATGTGCTTTATGTTCCTCATTCTCCTTTCAACCTTATTTCCATTAGTCGCTTGACTCAACCCCTTGCCTGTACTATTTCTTTCACTAAAGAGTCTGTCATTTTGCAGGATCGGAGCTCGAGGAGGACACTTGGCGTCGGATCTGAGTCCAATGGCCTTTATCAGCTTTCAACTTCTGTTCCAGTGTGCTCTGTTGTGGATTCTCCGCTTACTATCCACGCTCAGTTGGGTCATCCCAATCTTGCTAAGCTCCAGAAGATGGTCCCACGTTTCTCAAATATATCTAGTTTGTCTTGTGAGTCGTGTCAGTTAGGGAAGCACACTCGTAGTTCGTTTCCCGATCGTGTCAGTCGTCGGTCTTCGTCTCCTTTTGCTTTAGTTCATTCAGATATTTGGGGTCCTAGTCGTACCGTTTCCACTATGAGGTACAGATATTTTGTAACTTTCATTGATGATTATTCTCGATGTACTTGGTTATTTTTAATGAAAAATCGGTCTGAATTGTTTTCTATTTTTAACAAGTTCTTTAATGAAATCCTTACTCAATTTGGTGTTTCGATTCGCATTTTTCGAAGTGACAATGCTCGTGAATATTTGTCTCATCAGTTTCAAACCTTCTTTGCATCTCACGGCATCCTTCACCAGACATCATGTTCACACACCCCTCAACAGAATGGGGTTGCTGAACGCAAGAACCGTCACCTAATTGAGACTACTCGGACACTTTTGTTACATGGTCATATCCCATTCCAGTATTGGGGCGATGCTGTCCTCACAGCTTGTTACCTCATTAATCGGATGCCTTCCTCCGTACTTCATAATCAGGTACCACATTCTGTGTTGTTTCCCCATCAACCTTTGTACCCACTCACTCCTCACATCTTTGGTTCTACTTGTTTTGTCCACAATCTCAGTCCTGGTCTTGACAAGTTATCTGCTAAGTCACATAAATGTATTTTCCTGGGTTACCCTCGCTCACAAAAGGGTTATCGTTGTTATTCTCCTAGTCTTCGTCGTTACTTTGTCTCGGCGGATGTTACATTCTTTGAGTCTATTCCATTCTTTGACTCCTCCTCCCATCCCAGTGATTCTGTTGCTACTCAGCTACCTTTACCACCTGTTTCAGTTCACTATATACCTTCACAATCTCCTTCTTTAGATGTTCCCGTCCTTGTTCCCGCCCCTGTTCCCTCCCTCCAGGTCTATCATCGTCGGCAACGTCCCCTTGTTCCCCAGGACCCTACCCCCCCCCCCCCCGAGTCTGCCCCTATTGTTACTGAGGCTCCTGTGGACTCACTTCCGTCATCATCTCCTCCGGCAGCTCCGATCCTTCCGTCTGACATTGATGTGCCCATTGCACTCCGGAAAGGTACTCGTGATTCTCGTCCCCCTCCCAGGTATTTAATAAATTTGAGTTATCATCGTCTTTCACCATCCCATTTTGCTTGCCTCTCTTCTCTTTCTTCTGTATCTGTTCCTAAGACTACAGGTGAGGCGTTATCACATTCTGGTTGGCGACAGGCCATGATTGATGAGATGAGTGCACTTCAGAGTACTGGTACCTGGGATCTGGTTCCCCTTCCCTCTGGGAAGTCTGTTGTTGGCTGTCGATGGATATACACGGTTAAAGTTGGTCCGGATGGTCAGGTGGACCGTCTTAAGGCCCGCTTGGTGGCTAAAGGTTATACTCAGATATTTGGCATTGACTATGGTGACACATTTTCTCCCGTGGCGAAAATGACTTCTGTTCGCCTCTTTATTACTATGGCAGCTATTCATCACTGGCCTATGTATCAGCTGGACATAAAGAATGCTTTCCTCCATGGTGATCTGCGGGAAGAGGTTTATATGGAGCAACCTCCTGGGTTTGTTGCTCAGGGGGAGTCTAACCTAGTTTGTCGTCTCCGAAGATCCTTGTATGGTCTAAAGCAGTCTCCCCGGGCTTGGTTTGGAAGGTTTAGCACTATTGTATAGCAGTTTGGCATGACTCGAAGTGAGGCTGATCACTCAGTCTTTTACAGACACTCTGATTCAGGTTCTACTTATTTGGTAGTATATGTTGATGATATCGTCATTACAAGTAATGATACTCATGGTATAACTCAGATAAAACAACATTTGTGCCATCATTTTCAAACAAAGGACCTTGGAAGACTCCGATATTTCTTAGGGATAGAAGTGGCCCAATCCAAAGATGGCATTGTACTATCACAAAGAAAATATGCTATGGATATTCTTGAGGAAACAACATTGTTAAATGCTAAGCCCGTTGATACTCCTATGGATCCAAATGTCAAGCTTTTACCAAATCAGGGGGAGCTATTTTCTGATCTAGAAAGGTATAGAAGATTGGTTGGGAAACTGAACTATCTCACAGTTACTCGACCAGACATTTCCTTTGCAGTCAGTGTAGTAAGTCAGTTCTTGAATTCTCCCTGCGAAGATCACTGGAATGCAGTAATCTGTATCCTCAAGTACATCAAGACTGCTCCTGGCAAAGGTCTTCTCGATGAAAACAAAGGTCATACCAGAGTTGTAGGATACTCAGATGCTGATTGGGCAGGTTCTCCTATTGATAGAAGATCCACTTCTGGGTATTGTGTATTCGTTGGAGATAACTTGATTTCCTGGAGAAGTAAGAAGCAAAGTGTAGTTGCTAGATCAAGTGCTGAAGCAGAATATCGCTCCATGGCCACAGCTACCTGTGAACTCATCTGGTTAAAACAGCTACTGAAGGAACTCAAGTTTGGAGACACTGGCCCAACATCTCTCATTTGTGATAATCAAGCTGCTTTGCATATTGCTTCAAATCCAGTGTTTCATGAAAGGACTAAGCACATTGAGATAGATTGTCATTTCCTTAGGGAAAAAGTTCTCTCAGGAGATATAGTCACTCGTTTTGTCAACTCAAATGATCAATTAGCTGATTTATTTACTAAGTCTTTGAGAGGACCTAGAATAGACCAGATATGTAACAAGCTTGGTGCATACGATCTATATGCTCCAGCTTGAGGGGGAGTGTTGCTGTACATAGTATAGAAGTCCCACATCGAGTGTACATAGTATAGAAGTCCCACATCGAGTGTGTCTCTTTGTATTCTTCAATTGGTTTGCTATATAATAGCACCAATGTTGTGTAGTTCTATATAACAAGGATTACAATGAACACCTCTTGTCTCTTGATAATTAACAGTAATAATAAATATTTTTGACATTGTCATCCGCAATCGTCCTATCACTTTATCTGTTTATCAGTTTCCTACGTCTTACCGACAATAATAAAACTTCATTATATTTAAAAGAATAACAAAAAAACACTTATCAAGCGAATCACGTTCCGTAGAATATTTAAAAACACAGCACTCGTGTTTCGTGAGGAAACAGAAATAATAATATAATATCAGAAAAGTGAGATATTCTAACTATCAAAAATTCTCATTAATAACTTATTATCCATCATATCACCATTAGATTAAAGAGAAAGAATCTTAAAAAGTTTTTGAAGAGAGAAAAAATATTAATATAACGGTGATTAGATAAGTAGTAAGTTGATACTGAAAAATTATAATAGTAAGAATATACTCATAGCCGAATACCCATAATGCGGGAAAAAAATATGAAGAAATGTAAGTGAGAACTCCCAAATTCTTTGGGGACAATGACCGTACTGCCACTTTTTAGGCAAAATTTTACCTGATTGCCACTTCTGAAAAAAAATTCGCCAAAATGCCACGCCTGAATCCCGCTGGTCTGACAAGCGGGAATGGACTGGACACGTGTCAGCGTCTGAATGGTGAACCATTCTCGCTGGGCTGCTCAGCTAGAATGACAGAATGCTGACACGTGGCAAAAGCACATGCATTCTCTGGATGTCTGCACTTTTGCCACGTGTCAGCATTCTGTCATTCTAGCTGGGCAGCCCAGCGAGAATGGTTCACCATTCAGACGCTGACACGTGTCCAGTCCATTCCCGCTTGTCAGACCAGCGGGATTCAGACGTGGCATTTTGGCAAAAATTTTTTCAGAAGTGGCAATCAGGTAAATTTTTATTAAAGGAGTGACAATATGGTCAATGTCCCAAATTCTTTGTCCCTATAAAGTTCCACATCAGCAAACAATATTCATCATTCATACATCCCTCTCAAAATCTTTCCTTTAACAAAAACTAGATTCTCATGGAGCTCCTCCCCTTTGATGTTGAAGGCCAACATCATCAACTAAAAGCTATTTTTCTTCCATTTGTATCAACCAGTCACCTCATTCCTGTAGTAGACATAGCAAGGCTCTTTGCCATGCATGGCGTTGATGTCACCATTATCATAACACCATCCAATGCCACCATTTTTCAAAGCTCCATTGACCGTGATCACAGTCATGGTCATTCAATTAGAACCCATGTTGTTAAGTTCCCATCTGCACAAGTTGGTTTACCAGAAGGAGTTGAGAGCATCAACATTGACACTCCTCAATCCATGGTCTCAAAAATCTATCAGGGTTTGTCAATTCTCCAAGAACAATACCAACAACTTTTCCATGACTTGAAAGCTGATTTCATAGTCACTGACATGTTCTACCCTTGGAGTGTTGATGCTGCTGCTGAGTTAGGAATTCCAAGGTTGATTTATGTTGGTGGAAGTTACCTGGCTCACTCTGCACAACACTCCATTGAAGAATTTTCACCTCACACAAAAGTTGATTCGGATACTGAGAAGTTAACTAAAGATGAGGTATTTAAGTAAGATATTTTCACCTCAGAGCAAACGATATCGAAATGACTCGTGTGATGGCTCATTGGAAAGGTATTTAAGTAAGAAAAAAAGATAACTAAAGATGAGGGTCTGGTTTTGTGCGGTGTGTCCGCAGTAAAATAATTACCGAACCATATTTGGATAAGTAAAAAACGTAAGATTGAGAAATTGGCTAAGTGAGTTTATGGGAACCCCTCTTATAGTAAGTAAAATAAGATATAAAAATAGTTTAATCTAGTATTCCGCAAGAGTTTACAGTTATGATCACAACTTTTATTTATTACGCTTTTTACGATTTTAAATGCTCGCGTAATAAACGAAAAAAGTTTACTCGTATTTTTATAAATGAACTGCTGTGATTGTAAATAATTAATATTAACAATACCAGTGTACAACAGACTGTTACATAATGAAATATTATTCTCCTATATATCCTAGATTAAATAATAAAATAATTTCTTGTGACAAGATTTGTAGGATCCGCAGTTTTCCCAAGTATAAAGAAAATCATCTAAGATATTTAGGGTGTGTATATGATATTATTATTATATGGATTCTGTTTTTATTTTTGGGCTTAGGAATAATTTTTGGAAAAAATATTTAATGACATAATTTATTTTATTTCAAGAAAAACGTATTTAATAAATAATGTTACAAAAAATAAAATATTTCTTCTTTCTATCAATTCCTAAACTAAAATATGAATTCTACGTCTTACCGACAATAATAAAACTTCATTATATTTAAAATAAAATAAAAAAACACTGATCAAGCGAATCACGTTCCGTAAATAGTATAAAACACAGCACTCGTGTTTCATGAGGAAACAGAAATAATAATATAATATCAGAATGGGTTTATTTTTTTATTGTTAACATAGATAAATTATCTACATTGAACTAAAAAGATGTTATTTTGGGATGAAAATTATATTTTTATAATTATAATTTATTTCAAATTTTAATAATCTTTTTTATTATATTTTTTTAATTTTTCAACTCAAAACGACGTAAGAGATTAAATTCTATCAGAATAGCCATAATGTGAGGAAAAAAAATGAAGAAATGTAAGTGAGAACTCTCAGATCCTTTGTCCCTATAAAGTTTCACATCAGCAAATTAATAATATTCATCATTCATACATCCCTCTCAAAATCTTTCGTTTAACAAAAACTAGATTCTCATGGAGCTCCTCCCCGTTGGTGTTGAAGGCCAACATCATCAACTAAAAGCTATTTTTCTTCCATTTGTATCAACCAGTCACCTCATTCCTGTAGTAGACATAGCAAGGCTCTTTGCCATGCATGGCGTTGATGTCACCATTATCACAACACCATCCAATGCCACCATTTTTCAAAGCTCCATTGACCGTGATCACAGTCATGGTCATTCAATTAGAACCCATGTTGTTAAGTTCCCATCTGCACATGTTGGTTTACCAGAAGGAGTTGAGAGCATCAACATTGACACTCCTCAATCCATGGTCTCAAAAATCTATCAGGGTTTGTCAATTCTCCAAGAACAATACCAACAACTTTTCCATGACTTGAAAGCTGATTTCATAGTCACTGACATGTTCTACCCTTGGAGTGTTGATGCTGCTGCTGAGTTAGGAATTCCAAGGTTGATTTATGTTGGTGGAAGTTACCTGGCTCACTCTGCACAACACTCCATTGAAGAATTTTCACCTCACACAAAAGTTGATTCGGATACTGAGAAGTTCTTGCTTCCTGGGTTGCCAAATGAATTGGAGATGACACGTTTGCAGTTACCAGATTGGCTTAAAAAACCAATTGGTTACACTTATTTAATGAAGATGATGAAAGATTCAGAGAGAAAAAGCTATGGATCATTGTTCAATAGCTTTTATGAACTTGAGGGACCTTATGAAGAGCATTACAAGAAAGCCATGGGAACCAATAGTTGGAGTGTGGGACCAGTTTCATTATGGGTGAATCAAGATGCTTCTGATAAGGCTGATAGAGGGCATGCCAAAGAAGGAGGAAAAGAAAAAGAAAAAGAAAAAGAAGAAGGGTGGTTTAAATGGCTTAATTCAAAGAAAGAGGATTCTGTTCTGTATGTGAGTTTTGGGAGTATGAACAAGTTCCCTACTTCACAGCTTGTTGAAATAGCTTATGCTCTGGAAGATTCTGGCCATGATTTCATCTGGGTGGTTAGGAAAATTGATGAAGGGGAAGATAATGAAGGAGGGAAATTTCTGCAAGAGTTTGAGAAGAGAATGCAAGAAAGCAACAAAGGTTATTTAATATGGGGTTGGGCACCACAACTTCTTATACTGGAACACCCTGCCACTGGAGGTTTGGTGACACATTGTGGGTGGAACACTATTATTGAAAGTGTGAATGCAGGCTTGCCAATGGTAACTTGGCCTCTGTTTGCTGAGCAATTTTATAATGAGAAGTTGCTGACTGAGGTGCTGAGAATTGGTGTGGCTGTTGGGGCAAAAGAATGGAGAAATTGGAATGAGTTTGGGGATGAGGTAGTGAAAAGGGAGGAGATAGGAAAGGCAATTGCTTTTTTGATGGGTGGTGGAGATGAGGCCTTAGATATGAGGAGAAGAGTCAAAGGGTTGAGTGATGCTGCAAAGAAAGCTTTACAAGTTGGTGGGTCTTCTCATACCAATTTGAAAGAACTTATTGAGGGGCTCAAGTCATTCAAACTTCAAAAGGTTAACCAATAAATGGCTGATGGAGAATTGCAATTTTGAATATCTTGAGATCTTGTTTTCAATATGTTCATCCAAATATCCTGAAATGTTTATTAGTCTGCTACTTAAGTTTTTTAACACTTTATGTTAAGATGTTTTGTGTTTAGTATGTTTCCTCTTGTACATCATCTATTATTCTATGAGGTAGGATTCCTACTATTTATTTTTTTTATTACCACTCCTCTATCATTTTAATCACCATTGGATTCAAAAGTTATTTTGTTTCTCTCTTCATTCAACTTTTCCTTTAATCAAATGGTGATTAGAGTAGTAATAGAGTGATAGTAGAAAAAATAGGTAGTTAGAATATCCTAGCTCTTATTCTATTCTGTGCTTTCTTTTATATTTATGTTCTCTTTTGTACTCCTACATATAAAAAAAGTAAAAAAAGAGAGTCAGAAGCCGCAACATAATCTGTCATATGTGCAACCTGGTCAGAGAACACCTTTTCTTTCCTATTATGTTCTCTTTTGTCCAAGTGTTTGTAATCCTAATTATAGAAATGGATTATCTTATGTTAATTTGTCACATGTCCTTATCATATAAAAATTGGGCTTTATTTTTCTCCTTTCACACGAGAAAAAGAATTTTCATATACACACATGTTTAAGATAGATCCCACTATTAAAAAATTAAAAAAATAATAATAATACACGCATATTAATATATGAGTAACATAAAAAATATTTTCTCCAGTATTTTCCCATAAAAATTCTGTGTCTTTCTTCATCGATATTTTCAAATTTCAACCGGACTGTAAAAAAAAAATTTCAATGTTGCTGTCGCTAAGCGTTAAGATTCGAACTCGAGTCTCGTAAATGCTCAAGAACAACTTACCATTGGATTGACTGACTTTGTTTGATGATTAATATACACCATTTAATATATATATATATATATTATCATTTAATAGAATTATTTCAAAATAACATTTAGTAGGAATTGAACCCTTGTTATGAAAATATAAATTATAGTCTTTACCACTAAACTACATTTGCTTCTTAATTCACTTGCACCATTTAAAATATTTATTATGTAATTGAGTATAAAATATAAATTTATATATATTTTCGGTTCATGCGGTTGAACCAATGACTCACTGATCCAGTACCCCGACCGGGTCGATTACCGGTCCGAGTTTAATAACATTGCTCCACAATATCATCTTTAGCAAGGATTTAAAATCTTAACCCTAAATTCGTTCCGAATAGAATTGTCACACGTAAAAAACATTCATGATATAAAAAAATAAAAAATAAAAAATGTTCAGCCCGTTAAGGCAAATATGCATATCCGAGAGCGACTCATTTGCAAAATGTTTAGCCTTTGATAGCAAATGTATACTTGATTGGGACTTACCTCTTGTCTCTTATAATTATTACACCTTTGGAAGACACTTGCAGGGTCCGAGAAACGTTAAGCTTTTTCCCTTTTATAATAGGGGTTTACTAATCTCATGTTACATGAGATAGTGGGTAACATAAATATGTGGGGTCCACAATCTAAAAAGAAAAAAAAAGAAAAAAAAAATTGACACAAAATTTTATAAATGTATGATATAAGATAGTTTTCTTATGCAACATGTTATTATTTTCCTTTATAATATCCCTTCACTTTCCTTCTTGTTTTCTTCTTCGTGATGAAGATACTGCATATGCCTAAAGTATTTTGTAAAACCTTGGTTTGGTTATCTCTTGTAATTTGATGAATAATTGTATCTCTAACTGTTTTTCCAACCATTTTCCTTCGCTTCACTATCGCACGACGTCGTTGCTTCTTTGGGCTATTTTTGCGTCAAACAGGTGGTGGTTATCAGTGCCATAGTCTTTCTCGTGATTCTTTTCCAGTCTTAATCTTTGCAGTTGCATCGTAGAGTCATGGCCATATTATGTAATGAATCTCATATCAATAATTAGTAATTAATTCGAATATATTTTTTGGGATGCGTTTTTTTCAGTTATTACAGATAAGTTATCTGCAATAAATCTAATACGATATTATTTTGGAACAAAAATTATGTTATTTTTGTAATTTTAATTTATTTCAGAATTATTATAGTCTTTATAATATTAATTTTTTAATATTTCAATATCAAAATAACGTCGTTTTAAAAATAAATATAAATAATTTATATGCAGTAACTCTGTACAAATAATTTTTTTTTTATATTTTACAAGTTTTGCTATTATAAGTGACCGGTAATCTATTATTAAATAATTGAGTCCATCACATCACTTCCATAAAAAAAAAATTAGATCCACTCCCCCTTACATTCTTATAATTTGTCTTTGTTTTTTTAGGGATGGTGATCGTCAGAAACAATGATTGAAAGTGACGATAGTTGGGTAGAGATCGTAGAAGAATTCTCTAGTAGAGTTAGCCTTGGTTTAGTGGCGGGCCACGTGTTCGATCTATCTTTATTGGGGTAAAAGAAGCGAAGTCATTGTATTAAAATAAACAGAGTAGATACCCATTTTCATCTCTCACAATATTTATGAAGTCTTTTTTAGTTCTCAACAATAAAAAAGGCTCATTTTGGTTCTTAATTTTAGAAAAATAGTGTCACGTTAGTCTTTCTGTTAGTTGAGCTATGACGACGTCACTAACGTGTCTGACGTGTACCGTTAAGTGGTTGACTCACATTCCACGTAAGACCAAAAACGATGTCCTTGAAGTACTTTTTTTTTTTTTTTTCTTCTTCTTCTCTCCCACTTGAAGTTTATCTGGAGATTACAACGCTAAGACATTCCCTCACTTTCTGCAGAGGAGAACGGCAAAGTCTCTGGCGATGTGAACAACGGAGAGGAAAGAGCTATGGTATGGCCAAAGCTTTACATAACCCTCTCTAGCAAAGAGAAAGAGGAGGATTTTCTTGCTATGAAGGGTTGCAAGCTTCCTCAAAGACCCAAAAAGAGAGCTAAGATAATCCAAAGAAGCTTACTTGTGAGTTTCTTTTTCTCTTTTTTATTTTTTAAATGTTTTAAGTGTTTTGTGGGGGTAAAAATGGGAAATTTAGATGTTGGGGTGGTTTTTTTTTTTGGTGATTTGAGTTGGATTTTCATTCTCACCACCACCTTATCTTGTCCACTTGTGTTTTTTTGTGTGCTTCTGTTACAGTCGGTGAGTCCTGGCGCGTGGTTGACTGATATGTGCCAAGAGAGATATGAAGTTAGGGAAAAGAAAAGTAACAAAAAGGTATGTGGTTGGTGGGGTTTACTTTTTTTACTGTAACTGGATCTAAACTACCATGCCTTGTGTTTTTGCTTTCTTATCTCCTTTCATGCTATTAATTGCTAAAGGGTTCTTATTTTTGGGTTTTGGATGCAGAGGCCAAGAGGATTGAAGGCTATGGGGAGTATGGAAAATGATTCTGAATGATGACGATGATGATGATGCAATAACATTTGAAGTGGATCCACAACCATCACACGAGGGGGAAACAAGCTCTTTTCTGCTGATACATGAAATGTTTTGAAGATGATGATGATGATATTTGAGTTGATGATTCAAGTTTTTTAAGTTTATATTTCACAAGTCAGTAGGAAAAGGCGTATATGCCCCCCTTCATGTTTTTGTAAACGAGTAAGATCTTATCCAATACATTTCAATCAATGAAAATTATTTTTCTCAGCTTCTGTCATTCTTCATCTCTCTATTTTTTTTACCTTCCTTTATGAAGGTTTGAATATGATCCTTCCCCCCTCAGTCACGTTTTTTTTCTTCTAGCGTGCACTCTTGATTTGGTCTGCCTTATTGACTCTCTTGATTCGTTCAAAGCTTTGTTGTTTCAAAGTAATGTCATTTGTGAAGTATTGGAAGAACTTTTTTTCTTCTCCAGAAAAGCAATATAGTTCTTTTGAGTCATTTGGGGGTGCCGAATACTTATTGTACAAGAACAGATGAATGCTAGCTACTAGCAATGGTTGAAAGTAATGTATGTACATGATACTTTGTTTTCATGCACATTCTAAAAATGTTTCGTTTAGTGAATTTAATATCCTTGTTTCCTACATCACAACCTGCTGAAGCCATGAAAAAACTATCCACCTCCATCTTCTTCACTGTTTGACCAGATTTATTTATAATCACGCAATGGAGGACATGAAGGAACTGCCGGAGATATCTCCGGCACCGGTGCCGACGTTGCAGAGAAGAACTTGCATTGGAGAGAAGAACTTGCAATGCTAGGTTCAAGGTTTCAGCTTTTGGTGCTGCAAGTGGAAGACCTTGCACCGGAGAGAAGAAGAAGAAGAAGAAGAAAACTGAAGGTACCTCAACGACGTTGTTTTTGGTCCTACAAGGAATGTGAGTCAGCAACTTAACAGTACACGTTAGTGATGCTGTCATAACTCAACTAACAGAAGGACTAACGTGGCACTATTTTTCTAAAATTAAGGACCAAAATGAGCCTTTTTTATTGTTGGGGACCAAAAGGAGCTTCGTGATTATTTTCAGGGACGAAAAAGGGTATTTACTAAAAAAAAAAAGTGAATCCACTGTGCTCGATGATCCCTAGGTGGAGAAAATTTGGAGTGACCCTGGCTCACCTAACTTCTAGTGGTCCGACTATTCAAAAAGTTATACATAGATTTATTAATTCATATCATTATAATAGTTGGCATTTTTTATTTTTTATTCATTAATATTTTTTGACTTTATTTTCCTCCTTCTCTTCTTTTATGAGTAAATACATTTTTGGGTCCCTAACAAAAAACACGGTCCCCGCTTTAGTCCCTTACACAAATAAATTAGTCAGTTAGTCCCTAACAAATTCAAAGTGGGTCCATTTTAGTCCTTTTGAGGGATTAATATAGGTCTTTTTTGAATTTGTGAGGGACCACGATTTCAACTAAATGGGTCCACTTTGAATTTGTTAGGGACTAACTGACTAATTTATTTTTGTAAGGGACTAAAGTGGGGACCGTGTTTTTTGTTAGGGACCCAAAAGGGTATTTACTCCTTTTATTTTTTACTCCTGCTTCACTCTGCAAATGAAGTTTTCAATTTCCCTCTTCATTCTTTCTCTTTTCTCTCATTATTTTCTATTTCCTTCCATAGCTTGCAAGGAGTTCGTCGGAATCTGATCACTGTTAGCTGTAATTTGATTGTCGTTCGTCAAAGCCTTTCCCATTATTGATTTACCATAATATTTTGAACCAGAGTTCCATTATTGATTTACCAGAATATTTTGTAGAGAAGAAGAAGGTGCATGTTATAAAGAGGTGTGTGACTTTTATATATAATCTGGAGGACTATCGTTTTTCATCTGCTTCGTTCAATTTTGTAAAAATAGAATGTGCATATTCTTCTTTTTCTTTCTACTATAAATCTGATTGTAATATGCTTGTGTTTTTTTAAAAAAAATTCACCCTAAACTTGAGTTTTCTGGTCAACTCTATGATATAAAATGAGCATCTTTTTGTAGGATTTTTGCAGATGGAAGAAATGGGCACTTCTGAAAAAGAAATGGATAATTTTATATTTCATATTTATCTTCATTTAGTTTTGATAGTGAATATGACAATGAACAAAGAGAGATGTCAGTGGTTGTGAGTAAAGATCAAGATGGATATAAGCCAAAAATTGGATAGATGTTTTCAAATGAAGATGAAGCTTATAAGTTTTATAATGGATATGCTAAATTGGTTGGTTTTACTGTTAGAAAATCAAAATATCAAAGATTGGCAGATGGAACCATAAGTAAGATAACATATGTTTGTGGAAAAGAAGGATATAGAAAATTGAAGGACCCTTCACATGTGAGCAAGAAAAATAGAAGAGAATCCAGAACTGGTTGTCAAGCTATAATACATTTTAACATTGAGAAGGATACTTTGATTGTTTCTAAGTTCATTAAGAATCATAATCATGATCTTGTGAAATCATTTGCACGGGCTATGTTAAGATCACAAAGGCATGTGGATGAAGCACATGCTAATATGATTGAAGATATGGACAATGCTGGATTAAAACCATGTAGTGTGTATTCATATTTTGTTGAAGTTGCTGGAGGAGCTGAAAATGTTGGATTTTTAAAATCTGATTGTAATAATTTTTTACAAAGTAAAAGAAACAAGACTCTTGAAGCAGGAAATGAACAAAGTGTTATTAATCATTTTAAAAGTCTTCAAACAAATGACTCATCCTTCTTCTATACAATGCAATTAGATTATGAAAGTCATATGACTAATTTTTTTTGGAGAGATGGCATATCAAGGACAGATTATAATCACTTTGAAGATATAGTCATTTTTTACACTACCTATAGAACAAACAAGTATAATATGGCACGTTTAAATCATCATAAACAAAGTGTTTTGTTTGGTTGTGCTTTCTTATTGAATGAGACAACAGAGTCATTTGTTTGGTTATTTGAATCATTTTTGGAAGCAATGGATAGGTTGCAACTTAAAATAATTTTCACTGATCAGTGTCAAGCAATGGTCAACGCTATTAAAAGAGTTCTTCCTAAATCTCAACGTCGACTTTGCTTGTGGCATATTGGTCAAAATCCTGCTAAGCATCTTTCTTATTACTTGAGAAAATCTAATTTTAAGGTTTTATTTAATAGGTGTCTATACAATTGTGGATCAGAGCAGGAGTTTGAAGAGGTGTGGGCTCATTTAGTCATAAAAGTTGATATTTCAAAACGCTCATGGTTGAAAAAAAATTATGAGTTACGAGCAAATTGGTGCCCAACATTTAGTAAGAATTATTTCTCAACTGGCATCTTATCAACACAAAGAAGAGTAAGAGTATGAATAATGTTTTTCGTACTGTCACTTACAAGACAATGTCTCTAACTCAATTTGTACTTCGTTATGAAAAAGTTTTGGAGCATAGATGATGGTCAGAATTGCAAAAAGACTTTGAGTCCAATCAATCCGCACCTCGTAGAGTAAAAGAACTTGCAGGTATTAGAATTGTTTGAATCTTTATATGTGACAATTAAAAAAAAATGAATGAAAACGGTATGGTTGAAAAAATTTATTTTCTTTTATTTCAGGTATGACTGAACAAGTTGCACGGGTATATGCTCATGTTATTTTTGAAGAATATTATGAAGAATTGTTTGGATCTTTATCTGTGGCAATTGAAAAAATCAATGAAAATGACACTTTGTTTTATTACAAGTTAGTTAAATCTGGTGATGACAAACAATATTTTGTGACATTTGAAACTGCAAATTGCTCTATTGAATGTCCTTGCAGAAAGTTTAAATCAGTTTGCCTCTTATGTCTTCATGCATTGAAAGTACTTAACTTTCACAATATTTTTTAAATACCTTCTCAATATATCTGGAAGAGGTGGACAAAAAATGCTAAAGATAGTTTTAGTATAAGCAACAATGGCAACCAGGTTTGTGACAATGGTAAACAAGGAATTAATTTCTGTATGAGTCAAATAATGAAAAAAGCCATTTATTTTCCAACCAAAGGTGCATTGACAGATGAAGCAACCAAAATGGTTGAAGATCACCTAGAGCATGGGATAAAAAGATTGTAAATGATGTTAAAAATACTAGTGGCATGATTGATAAGACTGTAGTTGAATGTAAGACTAGTGGTGAAGAGATAAATGAGCATAATACATTAAATTCAAAAAAAAGTCTTAGATCTGCATTGTGTACGAGCAAAGGGAGTTACAAATGCTAGACTCAAAAGTCAGCTAGAAAAGAAAATGTGCAAGAGACATCAATCACAAGCTCTTGGTAAATCTCACGGTGCTAATACATTTAAACCTCTAAGACATAAACATATTGATACGGGTACAATGAATAAATTAATTAGGATCATACTATTTATTTATTTATATGTGATTTTATGATTATTGTTGTTCTCTTCTTTTGTGATTTAGGAAAAGCTTCAAGTATGATAGCTAAAGATTCTAGCACCTCTTATACACCTCTATCAGCTTATAATTTTCCATATATCTCTCAAGTGACAAATGCTAATACAACTCCATCACCTTATTGTTTTCCATATGCCTCTCAAGTGGCAAGTGTTAATACAGCTCCACCAGTTTTTTGTGTTGCATATATCTCAAGTGCCATATATGTGGGTAATACTATAGAATAAATCTCATGATACTATTCTAACTCCAACAAATGACTATTTATGTGCTCCATACTGATTGTGATACTATATCATAAAAGAATAACTTATTTTTTCAGGATCAACAGAACTCAAGAGCTCATAGTAAGGATGACTATTTTTCTACTCAACAAAATGACTGAGAATGATGCAATATGCTATAAGTTGTCATACAAGTTTGTTTGAATGATAAGAAGTCCTACATGTTACCATAGAGGTTGATATGCAATTTTTGGAGGTCTTGCAAGATACCATGGAAGTTGTCATGCAAGTTCTTTTGAATGG